AGATATATATATATATATAGATCTGTAAGACAAAGCTGGAATTGCTTAGTTTTGGTAATAAATAAGAGCAAGGAAAAGTAACTTGCACTTGCAGCAGGAGGGAAATGTGTGTGTGTTTGTTCCTCAGGCTGGGCTGGAGTTGGAGACACGGCTGCAGATTGCCCTGGATGTGGTGGAAGGGATCCGGTACCTGCACAGCCAGGGGCTGGTGCACAGGGACATCAAACTCAAAAATGTCTTGGTAAGGAGCACTCTGACATCTGGCAAATCCTGGAGTCTCCCTTTGTAGTGGGAGGGAGAAGCTGAAGTGAAGGAACAGATCCTCCCAAAGCTGGGGTGGTGTCAGCCACAGCTGGCCTGGCAGTGGAGGTTTCCCTCACTCCTCTTCTGGCCCAAGGCCTGGGGCAAAGGGAGCAGTGGAATGGCTCCTCTGGAGTGTAGGCAGCTTGAGCTCCAAGTGGGATTTCCAGTTCCTGGTCCTCTTAAATGCCAGCCACACCCTTGGTGTAGGAGACAGGTGGAGGCATGTGCTGGTACTGAGCTCAGCAAGGGGAGTGTCCAGGAGCAGCCAGGTAATCAGAGCAGCTCGTTAGAATCCTCAGTTCAGAGCCCTGGCACTAAAAGGCAGCCCTGGGACTGAGCAGGGTGGTTATCAGCTGCCTCTGTGGGGATTCTTCTGCAGCTTGACAAGAAGAATCGAGCCAAAATCACTGACCTGGGGTTCTGCAAACCAGAGGCCATGATGTCTGGCAGCATTGTGGGCACACCCATCCACATGGCTCCTGAGCTCTTCACAGGTATGTTCCTCCCCTGAGCCCACTGCTGGCCTGCCCTTGCCTGCAATTTTGAAGGCCATGATGAGGGGAAAGTAATAAAAAGACAACCCCCAGATGACCTGCTTGCAGTGTATTTTTTAAGTGTCAGTCTTGAAAGAGAACTGGGGGATTGATAGGCTTTGCTGAAGTGGTTGATACTTCTGCAGTTGGAAAGGTAAATTCTTAGTTATTAGGAAGCTGGAAGTACTTGGCTTTCATAGGCAGATCCTTCAGGAAGGATCTCCTGTAAGGAATTTCCAAGCTGTTCTGTCCTGTGGAGTGTTTGAATTCACTCTGAGGGTTTTCCTGAGTCTTGCAGTAGCACTTAGAGGTTCATATCTCACTCACCAGAATCCCTGTGGTCTGTCAGAGCTGCCCCTGCTTGGATAAGATTGAAATCAAATTGAGTCAACCCTCTTTGTGTTTAATTTAGAGGATGTTATTCTTATTAACAGCGGAATTCTCCTGGCCACAGGCTGGACCTTGACCTTAGATGTGAGCACTGGCTTAGCCCTGGGGCACCTGAGGTGCTCAATCTTGGCTAATTTAGAGGGTGAATTTAGAGTGATTAATTGCCCAATTCCTGGGCTGAGAGGCTGATGTTTGGCTCTGACATCCTGGGCCAGGCAGAGCTGAGTCTGATGTTGGTGTTTAACTCTGAAATCCATCTGAGCACCTGCACTGGTCCCTGACCCTGAGTTTGGGACCTGCAGGTACAAGTTCAGTGTAAAAACCTGACAACTGGAAAATCTTAACTTTTATCCTTTACCTGATATGTTCCTTCACACAAGTCTTGCCTTCTGGCCATGAAGTTGTGGTTTGAATTTGAAGGAGTTGAACACTAACTGAGCTCTCAGCCTGCTCAGTGTCCAGGGGTGAGGGTGACGTTTGTCCTGCTGATCAGATGTGCTTTTGTCCCAGGGAAGTATGATAACTCCGTGGATGTTTATGCCTTTGGAATTCTCTTCTGGTACATCTGCTCGGGCCACGTGAAGTTACCAGAGGCTTTTGAGAGATGTGCAAGCAAAGACCACCTGTGGAACAACGTTAGGAGAGGTAACAGAGGCTTGGTTGGACTCGAGTGCTTT